TGTGTGTGTGTGTGTGTGTGTGTGTGTTTGCAAGCCTAAAACTAGGAAGACAAGGCCTGCTATTGTTTAATTTGTATCCTGGATAGGAAATGCCTCCACTCGTCTTACTGCATTGCACTGCTACCATCTGTCTTACAAATGACTCTGTAGAGTGATGACATACTGTGTTGCATCAGGGAAATAACTGGGGGACTTCACAAAGAGGTTCAGTGGCAGTATGTAAATGGTATGTGAGGAACGTCGTGGCTAGTTTTGCACAAACAGCTTTGAAGCATCCCCGGGGCTTTATAGAGCACAAACAGCATCTTGGTATGTTTTTCCTCCTGTGGGGGCCACCTGTGTTCTTGGAAGGATTAGTTTTGAAAAGGAAGGGGGAGGGATTAGATGGCGTCACTGAGTGCAGCCTGGGAGTTTGAGCTGCCAGAAGTTTTTGAGTTTTTTTTTCTTTTCTTTTTTTTTTAAAAAAAATGAACAAGCTTTGTCTTTAGACAAACAATGAGGAGAATTTTTGGCTAGACGCAGCCTTCATCAGCATGTCCTAGTTTCTGCTGCCCACTGCTCTTTCCTTCCTGTCTCTGTTCGAGGAGAGAGTGGCTGAGACGAAGGATCAACAGAGCAGTAAAAGAGCATGAAGCAAGCATCACCTAAATGATGAAAGTTTATATCAAAGGGCCTTCATTTTGATTTTGGATCTAGGAGAAAGAGTGATAATAAAATCAGCTTTTACAAGTCTGTGCAAAGGCTTCAAATAGTGAAATAAAACAAATGAATTTTATTAAAAAGCACCGTTTGGTTTGAATTTGATGCCATGGTCCGCACTCTGAAACTTTCATTTATCGTTTTCCTGTGTACTTTGTGGTGATCGTGTTTGGCTCAGTGTAAATAGAGACCAGTATTAGAAAGAAAATCCAACCGGAAAATGTAAGGCTCAGGGAGTGGAAAAGATGGGGTCCATTACATTCTTTCCATACGGTCAATCTAAAATATTTGAGACTGAAGCCACAATTGATGGTTCTGCATATTTCTTTCTGCTAGGCTGTGTTTCAGTGGTGCTGTTTTATTCACGGTTATGTCACCGTGAAAAGGAGGTTTAAGAAAACCCTGCAACCCTGCCATCTAGTGGTGTCTTTTGGTTTGAATTCTGTGTCTATGCTTAAGTTAGAGCAGTTATTATTAGTATTTTATTTTTTATTAACCCAGTATATGCTAAATGTTCCCCAAACCAAGATAATAATGCAAACAATGCAACCAAGTTCCGGTTTAGAGGTATTTGTAGTGGCGATGTTGCTGTTGTGGGGTTTGTGCTTTTACCATTGCAAAGCCACCAACATGCATTATAAATATAATGACCTAATGTGTCAGAAGGTCATGCACACACCCAATGTTACAGAATTTGCAACAAAAGGCTGTATAAGAAAACTAGAGTTTTCTTTAACGTAATGTAAAGAAATGTCTTTAGTGTTGCTGCTTTTGTGCTGTGCAGGTAGCACATAGGATGAGTTTGGCTGACAAGGATTTGCAGTTTGGGAAGATTTGAATTATTTTTTCATAAAAATTTGTTTTGGTTTAGGCCAAATTCAGAAAATACTTTTTATTATCTTCAGTAACTAAATAAGTGCGGATTTGTGTTATTTGAATGAGGGTGTACCTTTGTGCCCTCGGTGAACCAGGTGAATCAAAGTTGTAGTTCTCCTTCCAGCCAGTAGGTGGCAGTAGACGTCTGATCATTATGCCGTGACTCCTGTTCATTGTGTTTCTGACCACAGACACAGTGAACATAAGGATTTGGTTAGTGGGGATATCAGAGTGTGATGTAATAGGGCTAGGCAACCCTCAGGGTAAATCGAGTTTCTGTTTGTGTCCGTTTTATGAAGACCAAACCCAAATTTTAAAAACTGTTTGGGGCTGACTTGATATATATGTGGTGTTTCATGAAAGCCTGAATATTTATTGACAGCGCTGGGGAATCACTGTAAGTAAAGATTGCAGGCTTAAACTCACTTTCTCTTAGCTGAGAGTTGGATCTTTTCGGGATCAGCTGCTTAACTTGGAACTTAATAAATGGATTAAAAAGCAGAACATTTTGGCTCATTTTGCTTTTTCCTTTTTAGAGTTTAATTACTCCTTTTCCCCCCATTTCTTTTGCTTACCTATGTTTTTTTTGTGTTTTTGTTTTTTGTGTGTGTTTTTTTTCACGGCCCCATCCAAGCCCCTCCCATATGGCTGTGTTCCCCCAGAGAAGCTGGAGGAGAGGTGGCTAGGGATAGGGAGGTCTGGGCTTCTTTGCTTAGGCTGCTGGCCCCGGATAAATGGAGGAAGATGGATGGGTGTTTTTTTGTTTTTTATTCCTATACATTTTTTATTTTATTTTTTATTTTTGTAAATTTTTGCTCCGACTTAACTCTACCTAGTAGCCCAGCTTTGGGCCAAACTACTCTAGTTTCTATATTTTGCTTATAGTTTTGATGATAAAAATGCTAAAATTACTCACTTGAAACAAAAGAAATGTTTATACAAAGGCATGTAACACTGAGGCTCCTCTGACGCTCCCCTCCTCCTCTGCTGACACATTTTGTGACACCAATTCAGCACAAACTGTGTCATTCAGTATTTGTGACCAGTATTTCATAAAATTTTCAATAAGCTGATCGTTGTTGCTCTCAGAAACATAACCCAGACACAGTGTGTCCATTCTGTGTCGCTTCATGCGCGTGTTTGTGTGTCTGGCCGGGTCTTAACACAGGCTCTCTGTTATCCTGTCACTCTGCTGTCGGCATATCCACCTCCAGTTGCCGCCGACAAAGGCTTCCCAGTGGCTTCGACCAGCAATGCACCACAAACGCACACACAGTCCGTGCCCCAGTGTGTGCCAGTAGACAGTGGAGTAGCTGTGCAGCCTGCCAGCTCTCAGTGAGGGCCACTTTGTTTCACCTCTGGCTTGGACTCATGCCAGACAATCTGAGAGTCAGTCACTGGGTCAATTAATGAAGTAATTGAATTGGGAGTTTATAGTTATTCAGTGGAGCTTTTTTTTTTTATCGTTTTTTTTCCTATGTGAGGTGCTTTATTGCTTTCTATTACAGTGTTCGCTTATGCAAGTCAATGTCACTGCCCGTGTGAAATGTTGTCTGCCATTCAACTACCCTGTTTGTCTGCTGCAGCATCAATGATCAGCATTTTAATAGGGTGTCTATGGGCTCTTACAAAGTCTTAAAATGTCTCAAAGTATGCATTTACTAATAAAAGGCCATAGAATATTCAAATTCATTTTGGATGAGTCTCAAATGTCTTTAGTCTCACCACTGTGAGATTTTTCCAGCACACAATGCTGTTGTTTTGTCCCTCTGTACACATTTTAGATTGTGCACTGGGAGTGCATCATTGAGGCTGTGCTTTACACATCAAAAATCCCCTTTTCATGTTCTTTATATGTGTGCAAAAGCAGTTATGACGATTTGTCCTGTGGCCTGCCGGCTTGTAATATACTGAGAGGAATCCTGTGGATGAGGATGACAAAGGAGGCTTCGCTTGCCTCACTGGCCAATTTACATAACAAAAATGTTCTTAAACTTAACCAAACAATGCAATTTTTTGTCTTACTTTCCTTAAAAAGGTCTGAATTTACCTTGAAATTTCAACTTGAAAGTGAATAATGGTGAATAATTTTGTTGGATCTAAATCTGTTTCAATTTTATTCAATTAAAAAAATAAGTAATGTTGGTTGATTTGAATATTGAGTAAGGGCTTCTTTTTAAGCAATCAGTGTGGCCTGAGCTTTTAAAGCCTTTGTTAAAGAAGGAAATCAATAATTTACAGGTTGCATTGTTTCAATAATCTTTTGGTTTTCTGTGTTTTATACAGTAAAAGTTTCTTTGACTTCTGGATTATTTTCTTGATATAACAGACATTGACTGTCACTTTTGGAAACAGTTTTGAGCATTTCTCATAATTTTGTAATATTTTACAGACAAAATGGAAAATAGGAAGGGGGGGTGTTATTAAGAAAAGGATGGCTGAATGGACCGATGACGAAGATGAACGACCCTTTTGTGCCATCCCTTTGAAGCTAGAGCTGCAACTACCATTTTATTTTCACATTATTTCACATTTTCATGCATTTCACACTAAATTGTAATTAATCAACTTCCAGAGTGCAAAGAGACATTAAGTCATATTTTATCTGAGCACTGGTCCAAACCCTGGACAACTTAGAGTTGAAGTTAGTGGAGCTATGAGTAGAAACTGTTTGTTTGGTGCGGCTACTGCCAGTTAATTTTCTATCGATCACTTCTCTGATCAATAAGCTAAAATATGTATGTTCTTCTTTTTCAGGACCTGGAGATCGTCTACTCTTATCTCCATGGGATGGAGGCCTTATCCAACCTGCGAGAGCACCAGTTGAGGTGAGTCTCTGCACACCTCCGCTGTACTTGATTAACATTTCCTGAAGCTTGATATTCCCATTGCATGAATTTAAAATTCAAATGAATGCGTGGTGACAACTCCTCAGTGTATGCTGCATTGTTGTCAGGGGTGGGAAAATTAACATTGAACCACTAGCTATGCTGTATGCTATTGAGCTACTTCTATTTTTTTGTAATCCAGGAGCCAGTGTACCGTCCAACAGCATACTTATTGGAATTTATTTTTTAGACTATAATTTACAATAAGCATCCAAGTGCAGTTATTACTATAATATATGGTCGGTCTCTAGCATCTTAAACCAGCATATTTATTATTCAGTTTTAAGTACTTCTGGACCTTTGAGTCTTTCTTCATAACACAGAATAACATATGTTCATTCTTCATATATTAACTGGCTGGAACATCATTTTTAACAAATGGACATGAATATCACTACATTTTAGTGAGCTTCTCATTTCAGTCAAGAATGTATTTTGTAATATTTCTTTAAAGTTGACCTGCTTTTCTTATTTTCAGTTTTTGACATACAGCTTATTTTATGATGGATCTCGATGGTTTGAGTTGGTGCACCAGCTGAAATGAGCCATTTTGGCTCCTCTGTCTTCTCAAGAGGACAAATAAAAGGACTTTTCTTCTCCAGATAAAAACAAATGATACCTGCCATCAGACTCTCAAATCTTGATTATTACCAGCCTCAATACCACTTATCCATGCCAAGCTTCTAAAACTGCAGAAGTAATTTTTTCTCTTCCCAGTTGTATAAATCTGTTTGAAACTTTAGCCAGCATCTAAAATATCTGCTATGACTAAACTGTAAACTGACTAAATGACTAAAGCGAAGTCATTGTTGCACTTTTCCCCTAATAATCTGTACCTATACCTGACCGGGTCCCCGTGAGGCTATACTCTCTGCTTAAACCTTGAAGCAATGAGCCCTCCCTGCTCTACTATTCATGCGTCAGTTTGCCTTTGGCTCCTCCATCTTCTCTGCCTGGCACACACTTTCCAAACACTGCATGTCAGAAGTCTGTTCCCAGCATGCCTTGTGTGCATACATGTGGATTATACTAGCAAGGGAACAATGTGGCGGTGCATGACCCGCGAGCTAGAACATTCCACTGTGTGACCCCTCAGAGGCCTCCAGCACTAACCCCTCTCCCTCCTCCTTGTTTTGGATCGTACAGAAAAGGAATGTCCCCGTAGTCCCACAGACCAACCCCTTTTGCCAACTTCAGTTTCAGTAACTTTAAAAAAAAAAAAAAGAAAAGAAAAAAAAGCTTCTAGCCAGACATCCCACTAACGATGGGATTATATTATACTTCTGTTGTCTGAACATTTTGGGAGGAATGTGTTGTTTTTCTTCTGTGATCCTTTTTCACAGTAACTTGTTTTTCTTGAGCGGGGATTGTTTTTAGGTCTTTGTATAAAGAGGCTACAACATGCTGTCCACCCGCAGCTGTTTTTGAAAGCGCTTGTGTTTTGATCAGTTACTGTTTACTACAGTGGTTTGCATGTACTGTTGAAGAGCATTTGTCTTCTCTATACAGGCATCTGGGGAAAGCCTGACATGAATGGACTTAAAGTGAAAATGTTTCGATTCCAGAATTTAAAACATAAAAAAATGAAATATATATAAAGTTATAAAAAAAAACTTGCTGCACAAAAAGAATACAAGAAGCTGTGAGGCTGGATTTTTCAGGGCAGAGTTATGTTTACAGATTATAATATTATCAAATATATTTTTTTGCCTCTGTACAGGCAACAAGAATGCCAGACTGTCTGTTCTTCCCTGGCCCAGAAGCTGGAAATATCAGAATTCCTTCAGGGAATTCCTTCATATTTGCTACAGACATCCACTTGGACTATAAATCGTGCATAAGACATGCAGATCATGTTTGACACTGTTAAAAAAAATTAATAAATAAATGTGTAAAAGTACAACTGGGTAAAAATTGAGAAAAAGACCATTTAACCAGTGGTGCAGTGGGACCACATAGTCAATGTGTGCTTTATTTTAGAGGACATACCAATACATACTCACTCTGCTTTTGTTAAGTAAGAAAGTAAATCACTGCAGTGGCTTAGCTTAAACGTAGATGCATAAAACCTACCTCTTTAGTAAGGAATCTTCCAGATGCAAATGTAAATATTTTACTGAATTAAGTTTAAAAGTAACAATTATGTAATTGGTGATCAATACGTTAAAATACCATAAAACATACCCTAATAAAAAAGGAGATTTGTAAAGCTTTAATTTTCAGCAAATTCAATGCCCTGACATAAACAAATGTTTCTCTGCAGTTTGAGGATAAAGCTCACCATATTTTATAAGGAACAAGGACTGCAGTCTTTATGTTGTAGATCTGCCTAGAAAAGAAGATTTGTCATACCGGTTATATACCAAGTGTAATTTAACCAAGAAAAATTAGAAAATAAAGAGGCAAAAACAACTCACTTCACCTATCAGCAAAAGCCTCGATAGACCATAATGCACTGCAACAACCAGAACCATACGTTGTGAACTGGTTAACATGGACAACCTTGCAACTCTTTATAAGTCCCAGCACTCTAAATTTTAATTATAATCAGCAGCAGGCTTTCTGACTGTCAGTGACTGTTGCTAAAGGTGACTCTAGGATATGCAGAAATTTGCTAGTTATAGATTTATAATAACATAACATTGATAACATTTGATCATAAATTCACTCAAACACAACTATGAGGCCTAACTGTGATTCTTTCTTCCCTCTGTTTCCTCTCTCTCTCTCTCTGCAGGATCATGTGTGAGACGGTGCGTTATGAGAGACATGAGGCCAATGAAGTGCTATACTAGTAAGTACTGTTTCTGTCTGCTTGGGTATTCATAATATTTGTCCAGAGCTGCATGAACAAAGCAAAAAAACGATGGGTAGACAATGTAACAGTATTTTCAGTTCTTTGTAATCAAAGCACCCTTTTCTTCAGGATACAAATCGTTGTTATTGATGGGAAGAAACATGCCGACTGCATACAGAAGAGTAACCCCAGTGACTTAATAAAAATAAATGTCATTAAAGTGCAGAAGCAGTATGAGGCAGATCACAACTGAAGGATAGCGAACATAGAAATTATATCCAGTCATATTTCAGTGCGATTCAATAAGTGACTGATCTAAATTGTCAACAAAAGCTGGAATAGCTCTTAAAAGCATTTTCTTCAGTTTGGAGAGAGCCAGCAAGGCACTAGTGGTGATGCTTACATGCTTCCTCCTGTGAGCTATCTGTTTGGAGGGTTAATGTGATCAGAAAGCTGCATTGACAGCTTTCAGAGAGCGCGTGTGTGTGTGTGTGTGTGTGTGTGTGTGTGTGTGTGTGTGTTGGATCCATTTTGAAAAAGCTGGCACAACTGTGGTAAGCACAAAACACACACAGTGTTTGACTGCTGTCACGTATCTAAGTCTTCCAAACACCCAGAGTGAGAATTAAGACAGTTAATTAACTCTGTCAGTGTCTCGGGGGCTACAGAGGGGACAACATCCCTTTTCCAGCCTTCGTATCCCCCGTGTGCGTGTGTGTGTGTGTGTGTGTATGTGTATGTGTTTGTGTGTTGATGGATGGTGTGGAAGAGTCAACACCTCATTAGAAGCCCACTTGGCAGTGGGGGAGCTGATTAAACAATAGGAATGCAAACTAAATGGTGGCCACAGTACAGTCCAGCTTCAGCAAGATTCCTTTAGGTGCCCCACACCACTTACTGTACACCAGTGTTGGGACTAACGCGTTATTAAGTAACGCGTTACAGTAACTACGTTATTATTGTGGTAACGAGCACGGTAACTAGTTATTATGCCAAAATCAGGAACGCGTTACTCGTTACTGGGATTTAGATAGGCTCGTTACTCGTTACTTCGTGTGGTGGCTATCGCGGAGCTTCCACAGATTCAGTAACATTAGCAAGTGGTGGAGGCAGCAGGTGGATGAAGGAAAAGGGACGCAGAAGGAAAAGAGACCCGAGGCGGCCGCCGGTCCAAGTGTGAACTGAACTTCAGGTAAGAAGTTATGACCTGCAGTCTCTCTGGGTCAGATATGAACCAAGTTTAGGTGGAGTTTATTTTCGTTATTCTGACTTTTTCCGTACTGCTACTAGCTAGCATGACGGAGTTTCTATACAGCTGGGTGGTGCTATGATGTTAATGATGTTGAACTTTATTTTGTTCATAAGTTATTAGAGTTGCCAACCGTCCCGTCTGGTATTCAGAGAAAATATTACGCGTTTCTTATTGAGGTGAAAAGGAACAGTTTGTCCCGTAATTCAGCTACAATGAAAAAGACACAAAGCTGGAGTTATTCTGTGTCTTTGCTGCACAGCTGCCTCTTCTTCTCTCATTCTCTCCCCTCCCTCTCCTGTTTCTACTTCAATCATGAAACTGATCAATGATCAGCTGATCGGCTCTCTTGTTTGTTTATCGCCCACTTTGCGCCAGAAAGAGGAAACCAGCGGATGTCGCGCTAAACAACAGCAGCACGTTTAAGCTTGATCAGCTGTTGTTAGAATTTATTTAATATTAATTTCTAGTATCAGCTGATGTTTGCTGGAGCCACAGCTGTAAAAGCTGCTGGTCATGATATGGTTTGGTTATCTGGTGAGAGGGAAACATGAAGATGAAACCAGGAGATGTCCTTACTGAATCATCAGAGCTGAACAGGTGATGGAGAAACAGGTTTACCTTTTAGGTGACATGAATGAGTTGAAGGGAAGTTATGAACTGTTTCTGAGAGACAAATAACACCAGGATCCTTTTTTAGGTAGCTGACAGCTGGTAACTGTGCAGGGGCGGATCTAGCAAAGTGTTGCCAGGGGGCAGGTAGGGCATTAACAGGGAGAGGGGGGCACAAAGAAATACTTTTCTTTCTTATTCTCATTTAAAATGTCTCGCTTTTAAAAAATAATTATCTGAATCTTACAACAAACGATTGATAGATTGATGCATATATACCATCAGAACAGTGAACATCACTGTCACAACAGCGTTTATTTTCATTCAAAGGCTTTATGATTTTTCCTATAATGGTGGGCCGGTCTCTAGTCAAAATGCCCGGGACGATTTTTTTGTCCCAGTCCAGCCCTGTATGCAGCTCATCTGCAGTCTGGTGTTGCCTACATCTTCCTATTCAGAAGGCAGAATTTCTGAGTTCTGAGTACAATCGAAAGCACCACGACTGCAGTTTTTGTGTTGGATGTAAAAGGCGCACATGACGCTGTGACGTAGGCTAGAATCATGGCAGCAGTCAATGACGGTCCAGGCGTGGGATTTCTCTCGTGGAAATATGCACATTATCTTTTCCTTTCTATTGGTAGGTGGCACAGTGCACTTGTGGCAAGTAAGCAAGCTAGAAGACTGGCAAAGTTATGGAAGCAACACATTAACAAGAGAATTATGAGTAAAACCAAAGTTACTTTCCCTAGTAACTAGTTACTTTGAAAGTAACGAGTAACTGAGTTACTTTTGAGAGAAGTAACTAGTAATGTAACTAAGTTACTATTTTAAAGTAACTTACCCAACACTGCTGTACACACACTCAGAAACACTCCTCAAGGAAAAACGCAGCTGTCCCATCGCAGTGTGGACACACGAAAACGCAGACTTTCTAAAACGATGACATATTTTAGGCATGTGATGCAGTCATGTGACCAAATAAACAAAGATAGCAGAGGGCATTATACAGCGGTTGTTTTGATTCCTCTCAATTTTGACTGCCCTAAAAAAGATGAATATCAGTTTGTACATGCTCCAGATAGCTTTTCTTCAAATTCTTTAACTCTCAATCGCTTTTGCAACTTTGTACTTTTGTGTTACTCGCAGCGACAACGCCACCTCATTGTTAGTCCATTTCAAAAACTCGGTGCTTTTCCTCAACATTTTGCCGCGATGTTTCAAAGTCCTGAAAAGTAAATAAACGGCAGACAGACATGAGGCAGGTCGAATCGTCTTGCGTTTCACGCATGCGCAGTGCTGGAACGTTTTTGGCCGTTTCGATGTGGACGCACAACTCTGTGAAAACGACTGAAAACGATAGTGTAATGCGGATGAAAACGCAACTTTCAAATATAGCTTTCAAGTATAATATATGTAACTTTATATTGACATAAGCAGTTAATTAGCTCGTTCACTTTTAACCTAAGTTGTTAAAATGTATTTTTAATGTCATCATAGCCCCTTACAGTAACTGTTTGCAAAGTCATCATTAATAAATGTTAAACCTGACTGCTTTTTATTGCTTCAGAAAAACCAAATTATTATTATTACTAGTAATGTGTGGTTAACACATTCTCTGACTGGACTGACAGTATAGAGGTTGCAGTAGTGCTAATGCTATTTAGATAGCAATAATTGTCTAAAATAGTTTGAAGTGTTGCTGAAAATGAAATGTCTTGTACATTTTGAATTCCTTACTTTTGTCTTTGTGTAGGCCTTTGCAGGTAACTGTACTGTTATGTGCTTTGTTGGTTGTGAGGTTATGTTAAAACTGTTAACATAAGACTGTTAACATAACATAAATCTGCAGTTGAGTATGAGTAGGCACTTTAAGTGGTGGTGGTGACATAAATTACAAAATTTGTGTGCTTATTTACTGAATGTGTTTACTTTCACTAGTGTGTTAGTACCAGGGCTACTTACCTACACTGGCAAAAAGATCGAGGTTTTGTTTAAAGTTTGCTCTTTGATTGAATCAACCCCGATTATCCATACCTGGCAAATTACAAATAAAGGTCTACAAATCAGACCTCCTTATTTGATGCTTGAAAGCTGTGGACAAGGAAACTTCTGAAACAAACAACCACCAAATAAACACTGTGAAAGGATTTTAAAGTCTACTGAATGTTGGTTGTCAGATAGGACCTTTAAAGTACATTAATACAATATTTTCTCACTGATCTGGGAAAGAAGCTCTTGAGCTGCTGTCTTTCTCTATGGTTTCAGTGTTGTCAAACATCTTTATGAAAATGAAAACAATGAAAAAAAAAATGTGGATAAAATTTCACATGAAACTGTCATTTTCAGCACTAGCTCCTTGGTGTGGTCACAAACAAAGCGGAGAGCATAACTGCAGGTAGTGTGCTAATTTACCCCTGAGCTAAAGCACAGAAACGCAGCATGCTATTTTGTTTTTTGGAAATTGCCTCATTTGATTTGCACAACTGTGCACGCTTACGCCAGTGTTTCTGGTTGCGTCTGTGTACAGCTGTGTGTTTGCATGTATTTGTATATGCGTGCCAAGCTCTATTAACCTATTAAAAAAAAAGGCTCTCCCTTATAAGAGCTGTGTATTAAACGGCAGACGATCAGACTGAGCTTTCTCTGCAGGGTTTTAATCAGCCTGCTATACTGAAAACACAAGCTTTTACCAGTCTCTTTCTCTCCTCATCTGTTTATAACAGTGGCAGTAATAGGCTGCAAAGTGAGGGCTCTAAAAGTTAATGGGGAAATTAAATTTTGATAGTATCAATATTAAGTTGTATCCCAGAAAACCACATATAGTGTAAAGCATTGCAATACTAAAGAAATTAGTTTAAAAAAATGTAAACCGCATTTAAAGTTGGTCTACAGTGACATTTATGCATTTTTTTTTTTTAGTTGGAGCTAAAGTTGACTGCTTCAAAAGGACGTTTTACATAGAACTGAATCCCAGCTGTCTATTTGTATATTTCTTTCTGTTCAGCAAACATGCAGTCCTGCTGAAGTGACCTTTGTAATGACTTCCACGCTTATAACTTTGCAGGCCCTGCATGGCTGTTGGCAGGCCTGCAGTAACGATTGGATGATAAGGGTGATAGTTTTAAAAAGTACTGCC